GGGCCACAACAGGCGGGCGCGCCCCGGCCACGTGACCGCGCCTGCTGGCGATCACCTGATTCCCGGCGTGGGCGGGCCGTGGGGGGACAGAGCTCGGAGCTGGTGGGAGGAGAACCCAGCTCCGGAAGAGGGCAGACCAGGCCTGCAAAGGCTTATCCGGGTTATTTTCTTGCTCTCGGACTTCCCCGCCTCCCATAATTCTGAGCTGCAAGGAAATTGTTGGCGCGCGTGACGTAGCGGCCCTCCTCTTCCCCACCCCTTTTCTAAGCCAATCGGAAACCGCCCATGCCCCCAGGTTGCTCCAATAGGAAGTTAGCTCTCTCCACCTCGGCCTAGAAAAGGTCTTGGCGGCAGCTGTCGGACGTATGCGGTTTGGCATAGGCGCTGGCGCTTCCCTGTCCAGCACCTCAGTGGTAGTTTGGCAGGCGGAAGAGAAGGTTTGGAAAAAGGACTAGTGGCTTTGCCTTTGTAGTAGGAGGTTGCTTAAAATAAGATAATTATAATCTCCTGGCCCAAAACGGAAAACCTGCCGCCCTCAGTAGCACGTCAAAGTTTCCCTGGAGAGGTTATTGTATATCTGGTTATGTGTCCAGTGAAATAACTAGCTCTGCAGAAATAATAATTAATGCTGTTTATTTCTAAACATGGATATGAATGACAAGATCCGGAGAAAGACAAATGTAACTTTCTTGAGTGCCCAGTTACGGTGGTTCCTTGTATTTGGTTCTGAGAGCATGAGAGACCAGATTTGGAATTAGTGAAGAGTTTGCCCGTTGGTTTGGTCTGAAAAGGTGGGACATCTGAAAGCGGGGATCATGGATTATAGGTGGGTTTTCTGTGTTTTGGAGAAGGATCAGGAAAGAGAGTGCACTCTAATAGACTAAGAGGGGCTTGTAAATATCACAAGATAGTGTCTCAAGGACACGATGTAAAAGAGTCCTGTTACTGAGTCAAAATAGTAATGTATGTGGGTGTGACTCACCTATTGCAAAGGTACAATGCCAGGGACAGGATGTAGGAAGAGTCCTATTATCAAATGGGTCAAAATGTTCTGTTAATGTTTGTGGACATGATTCACCCAGGCCCTCTGGAAGGGATTTTGGAAATAGGAAAAAACACTCAGACTTTTGTTCTCATATAGTAACTCCGAACTCTAGAAGAGGTTCTCTGGCTACATGGTTAATGTATCGCTTTTCTAACCCTGAATTTTAGCCCTCAGTTTATTTTTTCTCTGATTTCCTTTTGAGGGAACCTCCTATCTAAAGTACTTTAACCATCTCAAGTCCAACGGTAATAAACTTCACAGCCCCAAACTATTTGCTGCCAGACATCTGGAAATCTTTGGGAGGAGATTAGGATTAAAGTCATTTGGGTAGAGGCATGGATGAAGCTTGGTGGGTTTATAAAGAGAAGAAATGAGATCAGGACAGAGCTGCATGGACACACAGCACATTCTCCTCCCATCCACTAAGCCGTTATGCAACCAAAAGTCTCACTGGATGCAGTCCCTGGACCTTGGACTTCCAAACCATGAGTTGAATAAAACTCCGTTTTTATAAATTACCCAGATTCGTGTATTTTTTTTTCTGTTAATAGCAACAGAATGGACTAAAAAGAAGGATGCTGTTCAAAGTTGAATAACACTTCATGGTGTCATGGTGTCAGACTCTTACCTTGTTGCTCAACTACAGATGGTTCCATTTCCAAGTTTCCTTTTAATCTGAGATGCCAGTGGGAATCCAGACCTTCATTAGTTATGTTATATTCATGCTTTGTCCAGTCGAAAGATCATGTGCGCTCTCTTTAAGGGCTTTTGCTGGAAAAACTATTTTCCGTTAACCAGAAATGTATCACATGGTGATACCAAGCTCCAAGGAAGGCTGCAAAATGGAGATATTATTGTAGATAACCCATGTGTCTTCTATGGTGAACAACTGTATTTATTTGTTTGGAACTAAGGGATTTCATGAGATGCAAGACTTTTAGTGCTCAACAGTCACTATAGTAGGAAAAAAAATGATATTGCCCATCTCTACCACAATTAGTTGGGGCTCTGTTACTGTAACTTACAGGGCATTAGATTCAAAATAGCTTAACCTAAAAACTTTTCAGGGAGTTGGCTAGTAGAACTGAAAGCAAAATCCCAGATAAAGTCATTAGTACCAGGTATGTCAACACGGACTGTCCTGCCTTTGTTGGCTCCATTCTCAGAAAGCCCATCTGTTAATGTCAAAACACAGCCAGCAGGATCATACTTGTAATCCCACAAATAGAAATATATCATAAGAGCCTTCTCCTCTCTAGCAGTTGAAATCAAATCTAGGGGCCTGACCTTCAGCTGAATGTGATCACATGCTTATCATTCAAAATCCCCATGTAAGGTTGAGGTCATCTACCACCCTTGTTGCTGAGGATGGGTCAAGTCCACACAGATTATTTCATCTGTAAACAGAGAAAGGAAGTCTCTGTTTTTAAAACTGCGGGTACTATCACTAAAAGGGTGATTGGAGATCACTGAGTAGTATAAACATAGATGTACACTACCAATGGTATTTGTATAGTCCCTCATCCCTTAGCCATGCCAATAGTGTCTGAAAAGCAGAGAAGTACAGTCTAATGCCAAAGGAAATTTTTGCTGCTGAATCACCAACACAACTCAGGAATTCTAGATGATGGGATAAATTGATTTTGAACAATTCTTCCTGTCTGGCTTCCCTTCCTCATTCCTCACCCAATTCCTCATGGTCTTTATTAATCTACCTTTATCTCAATAGTTTTAACCACTTTTCCCATGTTGATACAGAATATATGAACTTCAGGTTCTTCAAGTCCATAAGAGAAAATTATTCAGACCATGAAAACAAATGAAGAGTTGGTTAGCATAAGGTTTTTTCTGTAATCAGAGCTCCTAAGTAAGCAAACTGAACTTAATTCAGTGTAGATAAGTTTAACCAATCAGAAGACATCAACTAACCTCTACCTAGGGATTTTCCATGGGATCATATCCAAATACCTTGCTATAGCCTTGCAAGTAATTTCTTGTCTTTGTTTCCAGGTTATAAAAGCTTGCTGACTGTGCTGGGGAGCAGAGAGCTCTGTGAACCTCTTCTGGTTGTGAATACCCCTCATTTATTTAATTGTTCTTTGCTCAAATAAACTCTGTCAAATTAGATTTTTCTAAAGTATTTCTTGTAACAAAACCAATACACTCTTTTTTTTTTTTTTTGGAGAGGTTTTCGCTATAGGGCGTGTGTGCTCACCAGACAGACAGAGACAGACATAGAGACAGAAAGCGAGAAATCACCCCTCAGGGGGGATGGCCACACCACAATCCCTTCTCCTCCATTCTCCTCTCGGGATCTTGGGCACTCACGCACACACACCCGGCGTGAGTTTTAAGCCACCGGGTCTGGGACACGAACCGCGGTCAACTACGTGGGAGTCCAGTGACATAGCCATTACGCTAACTGCTGGTTCCCAAGACCATTACACTCTTATCTATTTATTCTGACCCCATTTTCCAGTTTAATACTAACGATATGTGATCTGCTGCTTTTCTCAGTCTTAGCAAAATTCCTCCTTCATACCTGCACATATGGTCAAACATACATATGAATATCTTAATCTGCATATGTATGGTAATATAACACATATTCTACTTTTTTGTATTAAAATTCTCTAAGGCAAAAATACATTTTGGTCAGTAGTATAACTTATAGCTCACATACTAGGTCATAGAGGTAGACATATCAGAAAGCTACTTTGCCTTTCAAATAAAGTATATTTATGTAGTACATTTAACTTTCTAGAGAGTTCTTACATCTTATCATTAAGTGCTCTTAACAATTCAGTGAAATAGGTTGATATAAATAATATTCTCCAGATTCACAGGTTAAAATCCAAGGCTGAAAAACAAATAATTTGCTTGAATTAGTACAACTAATGGCAGAGTAGAAGTTAAGCTCTCCTGGCTATTAACTAATCAGTTATTCTACAAGTTTGCTACTGCCTTCACATTCTTCCCCACATTGCTAACTTTCAGAGCCTCAACTGCTTCAGTTGAGGTTGGTACTTTGGGGAGGTTTGTATCAACTGGTTACCAGCAGGGGTTTGGTATTATGAAAAACCTGGGTTCAAACTATGTCTGTTCTTTTACACTTATTATTTAGTAGTGGAAAAATTGATGACAAATTCTATGCTTCAGTTTCTTCATTTGTAAAATGAGAATAATAATAGCTACCTTCTCCCTGGGTTGTGGTGAGGGTTAAATTAACTATATAGTGTTGATGTATTCTCCAGCATATAATAAGTAGTATGAAAATGAATTGAAAGGTAATTAAATACTGGTCAAAACGCCAATCTAATCCATCCAATTATGTCAAATGTTACAATATGAAAAGTATACTACAGGGCCAACTCTGTGGCCTGTTGTTTAA